ATGCTGAATCAATAGAGTTCTCCCCAATGGGCAACAACTGACCGATCGACTTTGACAACACAAAAGGAATCCTGTCAAGCTTACATTGTTTTAGTTTTGCAACTGAATAAATTAGCACCTCATTCTTACTTGGCTAAATCACAATCAAGGTACTTAAAGCAAAGAAAAGAGGAGATTAGTGATAATGAAATTTTTGTTTCTTGGAGATTTTGCTGAGAACTACAAATTTATAGTTCAAGATGAGATCCAGAGTTATCATTGGAATACTTCACAATGTACTTTACATCTAGTGGTACTCTACTTTAAGCTTGAAAATGCAATGCAAAGTGAATGTTTCTGTAACAACTCACATGATGTAGCATTTGTTTATATGGTACAAAAAAAAAATTATTGAGGTAATCAAAGCTACCTTGCCAAACACAAAAATATTGAGTATTTTACTGATGGATGTGCAGCGCAATACAAAATTATAAGAACTTTGCCAATTTGTGCAACCATCAGAAAGATTTTGGGCTCAATGCAAAATGGAATTTCTTGCCAACAAGTCATGGAAAACAACCGTGTGATAGCATAGGTGGGACAGTGAAAAGGATAGTGTCAAAAAAAAAAAAAAAAAAAAAAAAAAAAAGTCTCTGAAGACCAACTACCAAACAAATCCTTTTCACAGAATCTATGTTTGAATATTGTAAATATGCAATTGAAGGTATCAAATTCATTCTGGTTGAAAAGGAAGAAGTTGAGGAAGTGAGGAGGAGTCTCACCATGAGATTCGAAAATGCATCCACAGTCCCAGGAACAAGAAGTTTTCATCAATTTATTCCACTCACCAGAGATAAAATAGCTATGAAACAATGTAGCGAAGATGAAACTATGATCTAATATATGACTTTTCTATTCGGGCTGAAGAAAAACCAGTAAATGTTTTTGTTTCAGGATATGTTTGTTGCAAGTGCAACAATAAAATTTGGATTGGATTGGTCCTGGAAATTGATATGGAGAATAAGGAATTGTTGATTAAGTTCCTGCACCCAGCTTTTCCATCACATACATTTTAATGGAAAGAAGATTTCAAGGATATATGTTTTGTACCATTAATGAATATTCTGTGCACTGTTGATGTTCCTACAACAACAAATGGTAGAGTTTATCATTTGTCCAAGATGGATAAATTATCTTTGCAAAAAATTATATCCAAAACAATTTAGTCTATATGCACAACAAAATTTAGTGCATAGTATAGTTTAAAATGTAATCTTTTAAAGACTCTTTGTATATTCATTTTTATTATGATTTTCTCCTGAATGAAACAAAATTCAAATATTTGTGTTTCATGAAAATAATTTTGAAAAATTATTTAAAAAATAAAAATTTAAAAAGTAATGAAAGCATTTCCTTTAACTATATAAATATGTTAAGTGCCAACTACAAAAATTATTTTATAAAGATTCACATTTATCTTATGACATTTTTTGAGAATGAAAAAAAAATCAAATGTTTTTTTTGTTTCATGAAAATAATTAACCAAAATAAAATTAAAAAACAAAAAAAAAAAACACAAAGAATTTCTTTTAACTTCATTTGTTAAGTGCCATTTACAAATTTTCTATGCACTATTGATTATCATACATGAGGCAATGTTTACCGCTTTTTAAAAACAATCTATCTGTACAAAAAAGTAATATCTGCAAAATATATTTAAATTATTATTTAAAAAAAAAAAAAAAAAAAAAAAAAAAAAATTAATAATAATTAATAATGATTTATTGAATAGCTTAAGAAGTTACTTAGTGCAATATCAACATTTTAGAGGTCATGGAGCATTAGGATGATTGTCTTTTATTATAATCTTTCTCGGAAATCCTTTACATACATAGGAAAAAACTCTAAACTTGGCAAGGTCATATCTTCTAAAGTAGAATTAAAACCCTCACAAAATTTTTTGGTGAACTTGAGCAGGCATCGTAGATGTTAAACAAAAAATATTATGAAAATTGAAGAGGACGTATTTTCGATTGACTGTAAACTACATAGGTGAAAAGGTGTTGATTTTGGGGTCATGTATTTGGGTGAGTAAAATAAAATTTTCTATTAAGTGTTTAAAATAGTTAAATATTCGGATTCTACACTTCTTATTTGCCCTACATACCAAATTTCAGAAATATTGAATGTATAGAAGTATTTTTCTTTAACTTTTAAAAACACTGAAATTCCAGCGACGTTACACAGCCTTAATTTAGAGGCAAAATAGGAAAATTATACACCTCCCCTTAAAATTGGAAACCTGAAGTCTAGCACAAAATAATTTGGCACGCTTTCCTAACTCATGAAGGGGACATTTGTGCCAAATTTCAAGTAATTCGGTGTCGGTGGGTGCAGATTTCCACTTTTTGCTTGGTGTTTTGACATGGAATGATATTCTTTTCAATTTTGCATTTCATTTCAACAATTACTATAGCACATCCAGGAAATAGCTTAGTACAGAAATTTACATGATTTTAAACTATTATAATTAAAATTTAGAAAAAAAAAAAAAAAAAAATTGTAAAAATTCATTATTTATCAGTAACATTTTATTTCTTCAGACAATAGTGTTCTTAATACATTTATTTACAAAAGCAATAAAAAGCTTTTCTAATTAAATTTAATGTCATAGTTTTATTGCATTTATTATTTTTCAATTCAGAGATTTTTTAATTACAATACTGCAAGTTTGAAAAAAAAAAAAAAAAAAAAAAAAAAAGGTAATTTACATTCTCCAAGGAGTCCTAGTTTAACAAATAAAAAATAAAAATTTCAAAAAAATAATTTTATTCATTTCTGAATAAGTCTTAAAAAATTTCATTAAAATCAGACAATTATTTAAATTTTACAAGATTTTCCAAATCAATGTGTTTTCAAAAGAAAAAAAAGTGCAAAAAAGTCAATGTAATTATTATGCCACTACAATGACATAAACAAAACAAGATTTTAATCAAAATTTTAAATGTGTTAGAAAGGATTAAAAAATTCCCAAAAATAATCAAAAAAATACTTTGGTCTTTCATCTTAATAATAACAAACATTTTGACAATAAAAATTTATTTTTATTAAGGTTGTGGCCTTTTTCATTATGCTATGCTATTTTCTGCAAAAAAGTAGAAAATATGTATGCCCAAATTAATGGGTTAATAGTTTCTTTTCATCATAATTTTTTTTTTTTTTTTTTTTTAATCAAATTTAGTATCTTATCTTATTTATTATAAAACGCAGATTGTGTGTGTGTCTGTACGTTTATATACTGGATTGGATTTCCTACATTTTTCAACCGATTTCAACAAAACTTCACACAGGACTATGTAAAATTACCTTGCAGTGGTTCTGACAGCGCCAAAAATTGGAAAAACAATTGTTTTTGCATGAAATCAATTTGAAAACACGATTAAGAGGCATTAATGAAAGGGGGACAACTCATATCGAGTTATACTTATTAATATCAAGTTACACTTATTATAAAACCCAGGTTGGTTGGTTGTGTGTGTGTGTGTGTGTGTGTTCATTTATATATGGGATCAAATTTCCTACATTTTTCAACCGATTTCAACAAAACTTCACTTTTTTTGGCAGGCAGTGTTTCTTATTGTCTTGCACACTTTTTTTCTTTATTTTTACATTCAGAATGCTTTAAAAATTCCATTTACAAGACAATTGTTAATAATAAAATTCTATTCAATCGATAGACTCATGACGATTGAAAACAATGTTTTTGTTTGGGTTTGACCAATTCATAAAAAAAATAAAAATAAAAAATAATTAAGACATGCGTGTCCGTCAACCTTAAACACAGGTCATCTTTGTCAATTTTATTTTTCAGTCTTTATGATGGTCGATACTTGATCTATCTCTTACTGTTACATCCCCGGGCAACGCCGGGCTCTACTGCTAGTAGCTTATAAAAGTAGAGATACCATACCATGGAGTCTTTAAATACTTAATGCAGTTATAAGTGGGTGCTGAAAAATTCCCAAGACTGTCCCATTCCCAAAATTTGATCAAGTAATCAAAATTTATTTTGGAATTAATTCTTGGCTGGACAGAGAAAATTTCAGCATCCTTTTGTACTTTTCCTAAAAAGAGAATGGGTATTTATTCTCCTGCTGTACTGTCTGTGGTCAAAGTCCTCTCCATATTTTATTGTCAGGATTTAAAAAAAAAAAAAAAAAAAAAAAAAAAAAAAAAAAAGATATTTTAAGTTATAATCAGTATAATATTTACTTTAAAAAACAAACTAACAAAATGCTTAGAAAATTTGTCCATTTTCAATAGTTATCAACTGTGAAAATGAGAACAAGAAACAAATCAAGAAAGAAGCCTAATAACTAATTGATGCAGCAACTAAAAAAAAAAAAAAAAAAAAAAATCCCTGGTGACTTCTGGCAGCTTGCTAGACAAAATATATGGGAATTGTGGTTGAATATGGCAGCTTGGTAATTTAAAGTTGCTGTTTGCTGCAGAGAATTTCAAATAGATGAAGAAAATTTAAAAACATCCAAAGGAAAAGAGAATACCAAGAAACAAGAAAGAGTGAAAAAGTTAAATACAAAGCATTATTTACATTATTTTAAAAAAAAAACAAATAAAGTGATTATGTGAGATTAAAACATGAACAAAGAGTGGTTAAATTCTTTTAAATTTTGCTTAAAGCAGTATGCTTCTGGAAACATGATTCTTATTAAACTGATAAGATTTAACAATGATGAATCCATTTTGTAGAGGGTACAATTTGAGAAAATATAGTAAATAGATTTTCTGAGAAAAAAGAAACCTACTAAAATAGATCTAAATATTTCAAGAAAATAAATTTTTTTTTTCTCTACTTAGTATAGCACCTAATACCAAATCCGATTTGTTCAAAACCAGATTTGGTATTAGGTGCTATATAAAGAAAAAAAAAAAAAAAAAAAAAAAAAAAAAATTAATTTTCTTGAAATATTGCCTTTATGAAATTTTAAAGAAATACTTACTGCTAACTGTTCAGCGGTCCAGGTATCTAAGTTTACAGATTTCACCTTGGATATATGTACTCCAAGATTACGATGAATACCCGCACAGCGGATACATAGAAATATGCCTAAGTTCCAAGATGCCCATCGTGGACCTGTAAAAGAAAAGATATATTTTTACATAATTGCCAACAATACAAGATGTTGCTATTGCTATCTGCCTAACAATTAAAATAGTTTCTTAAGTATTAAAAATTTAGAGAGCTTCAAATTATAATAGACTGAGCATTTACTCATAACTGAAGAGTAAATAGTATCATTGGAAACAAAAAGACCTAAATAACATCATCAGAAACATAATTGACACATTTTTAATTTTACCTTAACAGACATGTTAACTTTTACTGATGATAGTGCAATTTCATAAAAACAAAATATAATAACTATCAAAATTGATATTTGACATTTTGTAGACTTGTTCTTGCTTAAGATATTGCTTGATAAGGCTTAGGAACAGGTCCAATATTACTATGAAGATGTGGTATTTGCTATCCTCCAGGTGTGTAGGGTAAAATAACAACTTTTGGTAAAAACTTGAAATTACAGAGTTGATGAAAAAAAAAAAAAAAAAAAAAAATTGTGTTTAATTCATAAAAAAAAAAAAAAAAATATCTTAGCTTCTTACCAAGAAAAGAAACTTTCTTTTTTTCGTGGAATGGACTTCAAAGAGGATGCTTCCTTGAGCACTACAATCTTAACTTGTTCAAGTCTATGATAAACTGTTTCTTCCCTAAATATTTTCATAAAATGTACCTCTTCTACAGTTCTTTTACAGGTTGAATAATATTGTAAAAAAGATTTGCGAATTAAAAGAATTGCTAAGTCGAGACATTATTATTGACATTATTTATATTTGGGCTATTTGTCTTCATCTTTGTTGTTATCACGTTTCAGCTGTTGTGATAGCAAAGATAAGGACAATAGTCTGAATACAAATAATGTAAATAAATTTATTGAATTGCTATAAAAATAACCTACCATAATTTCAGTAATTGTTAATAAAATAGTAAATTTTTTTCCATGTCCTGAATATATGTATCATCTATAAAAAAATATTTATTATCCATAAAAAAAAAAAAAAAAAAAAAAAAGGTTTAAACTGAAGATGCTATTTTCTGATCTACAGTAATTGGTAAAATACAAAAAAGTAAAAGGCTTTAAAAACTGTTTGCACATAGATTGTAAATGTTGACTTATTAAACTGACTTAAAGATATTTTTCTTAAAATGAACAATCAGCACCAAAGTTCGATAGGAGAAAAAACAGGTCACTTCAGCAAGATGGGTTTTTTTTAGGTGAAGAGATCAAGAAAGGGGGGGGATTATATTTTTTATTACATAAAAATAAATAGAATGAATATTGAGGCAGAATTATTTCAAGTAGGTGTGCCTAAAAGGGCTTGGTAACCTAAACAAGAAGTGAATAACTTAGATCCATCAAACATACATGCTATCTCACATTTTCACTTCACAGTTCAATACACTTTAAATTTAAAAAAAAAAAAAAAATTCTGATGTTTGATCACTCAAATATTGCTTTGCTATTAATGCAATCACCTCTGAACCAAGTGAAAATTTCCTCTTCCCTTCAAACTCTTGTTTAAAAAACAGATGGAGCAAGAGTTGATTTGTGGGGTATACGGTCTGCACAGTCAAACTTCAAATTCTTCAAAACATGCATTGTCTTTGTGAGTTCTTTGAGCAAATTCATTGTCCTTCAGAAAGAAAACTCAGCAACTCCCTCACTATTTTTATTTCATTGCAGAATATTACTAACTTAGTGCGCATATGAAATTTACACACTGAGTAGTATTCTGCTTTAATTGTTTGACCTTTTGGAAGATAATATACTTTCCTGACACCACCAAAATGTGGCTATAATCTTTGGGGTTTTGAATTTCTTTGGCTGTTTTGAATAGCAGCTATTGCAGGGAATGTTGTTTGGTTTTTGGATCATAAACTAACAGAACATTAACTTTTATATTATTATAGATAGTAGTGCGAATGAATTTATAAATACCTAAGATACACTTATTGAGATTTAAAAGTTATCATTTGCATATGGACAAGAGACACACTTGAGTAGTCATGAGAGGGGGGTTTGGTGAGTAGCAACTGTTAGGAACTTGTAAATACTACTACTACACATTACAACAATGTGTTGCTTATAGGATGCTGTTAGCCATAGATAACCCCAATTTTGGAGAAAACATGGTTAAGGAACTTTAATGCAAGTACTAGAACCAAAAAGTTGAAAGATAACAAAACTAAAGGGAGAGAAAACAAAGTAATAAAGGTTCTGTAGTGACTGTGGGAGTCAAATCTATCAAAGAAGTTTCAATAATGGCCCAACTCCTGAAATTAGGCTTAACTTTCCAAGAAATAAGTAAAATAATATTAAGGAATGTGTGATCAAAAAAGAGGCTGGCCATGGCAGAATAGATGAGATTTATGTTCATGAAACAAAAATCTGGAGATCCAGTTATTAAATATCAACACTAAGAGATGAGCTCGTACAGTGATATTTTTTAAAAGTTTGGGAATGAAGAACAGACTATAGAAGAGTTGATGCAGATAAGAATTATCAAAAGATTTTACACATTGAAAAGTATTGATACAAAATACTTGCGCAGCTTTAATTAGGAAGCATGTCTGAATACTTCTGTGGAATTTATACTACAGCTGAAAATGATTGAGAAATTCAACAAGCCTAAGATTTAGAAATAGCCAATTAATACTTATTAAAGGGAACAAAGGACAAATGCCAATACATTGTGGATATATGCATAAGAGAAAGAATGACATAATAAAATGCACAAAAAAAGAACCATTTCCAAGCAGTATGCAGAGCAAAAAAGATGATGTTGAGTCACTCACTCAAAAGCAATGTGGAAATGAAAATATGAGAGAGAAATATTGTCATTGAAATACAAGTTAAAATAAAAAATACCAATTTTGATATGCAAATGGATACAGGTAGTGAAGTAACACTCATTCTTGGGAATCTTTAGGAACAACTAGGAAAGCCAAAATTACAAAAGCTTTGACAATTTGATATTTCAATTACACAAACTCAGAAGCTTTGAAGGATCCTTAAATTAGACATAAAATTTGAAATAGCCAGAATTGTTGCAGACTGTAATAAGCATCATGGACTTATTGGAAATGACATACTTAAAATTAATTCCACAATATTAATTACTGCTATACTGAAAAAACTGAAATGCTAAAAAATTATAAAGTAAGTGTCAAGATAAATGAAAATGTTGTCTCTTCTGAAGTTGCTGGTACAGTTAGTTCCATTAGTAACAGTGAAACAAAGAAAATTACTGCAACAATGACCATTTCAATGAAGTAATGTCAATCAACACACCAGTAGGTTTACTGAGGTGGATAAAAATGCCATATGGAATAAAAATGGCTATTTTCAAATAAAAAAAAAAAAAAAAGTGTTAGAACAAGTCATTGGGGATTGATATAGAAGATATTGTGTGCTATCAAGATGATATTTGCATAGGGGCCAGAAATAAAACAGAAGTAAAGAAAACTTTATAAGGAGTTAAATGAGAATACATATGAGAAATTTGAAGATACATTTCTAGATTGGGTAGAGACTGAAATTTTATCATTAAAGAAAATAGCTGAGGAAACTAAACTAGAACCAGTATTAAGTAGAATAAAATGTAGAATTAGAAAGAACAAATGGAGTGATTGTTATCGAGCTGAAAAACCCTAGAAGGAAGTAAGACACAAACTTATGGTAGAGAAGGGAGTTATTTGCAATTGAGATATGATGGTATCCCCAGAAACACAAAGGAAGGTTTTAATAAAATGTGTTCATGATGATATACATTGTGAAATAGTGGCCGATGACATTGGTATTCAAGAGATATGGAAGAATATGTAAAAAAAGATATCCCAAATATAAAGAAATAAGAAATCTGACACAAAGGAAGTTACATTCATAGCCTAAAGAGTTAGAGCCATAGATCAGAGTTCACATGGATCATGCATACATCAGTGAAGCAGGACTTTTTTAAATATTAGTAGATTCCTTTTCAGGATGGCTTGAATTAATTTATATATCAGACAAAGGAAGTTGTACAATGAAACATATTAAGAATCATATTTTCACGAAATAGAATCATCAAAACTTTGGTATCCAAGAATGTGCAAGATTTTTTGATAAAGAACTCAACTTATAGCTATGACAGGATGCAAGCATTACAAGACACCTCCATATCACTCTCAATCAAATGGTATAGCAGAAAGGATAGTACAAACAATAAAAATGAGCCTAAAAGCATGTTCATAAGAAAAAATAGAAATCTTTCTAGAACTGCTTTTAAGTTACAGAACCATACTGCATGCTGGAAGAGTAGAGATTCCATCTGCCCTGATAGGAAGATAAATCAGAGCTTCCCTATTATATCATTCTATGAACAAAATGTAGCTCAAAAAGAATGAGGAGTCAAATCCATAAAAGGCAAATTTTCTAATGCAAAAAAGCCATAATAGAAAAACAAGGGAGATTATACAAATGTAAACAGATGAAAATGATGGGGACAAAATCTTCAAAACAGTTATGAAGGACCTGACAAAGATCAATTGAAGGAAGATAGCCATGAATATGGAAGTGTAAGACAGATCAAGGTCTTGCAGAAATAGAAATACAATTTATAGGAGAGGGAGAAATAAAGGAAATCCTGGAAATGGAACAGTTTGTAAAAGAAGCAAAGGGCAAAACCATTCTATTTCAGGGAAATATAATATGTAATTTGCATATGGATAAGACAAGCTTAATTAGTCATAAGGCAGGGATGCTGGTGAGTAGTGATTGTGAATGATTTGTGAATCCTACTACTACACATCATAACAGTTAAAAAAAAATACTATAGAATATAATGTAGTAAAAAGAAAGAAAAAAAAAAAAACCATGAACATTATCATATACTTTAGGATATTTAATGACAACCCATGCTGCAATATGAAATTGGAAATAATCTTAAATCTTAAATGAAGTGAATTTAATTTCTAAAATAATGTAATGGTGTAAAATGTAGGAGTTGTAATAGTGGTAAGTAAAATGAACCACT